GCTGTAATTCATCCCCCTACAATAAACCTTAGGTTTTCTCCTAATACCTTCTGCGATGTTTCCCCTGATTCTGAAGATCAAAACTTTCTTCCCCCACAAGGAAAAATAAAGAAAAAATATATTGCAAAAACTGTAAGACTATTCAAAGACAAATTAGATGGAAATGAACACTATCCAATCTCTACCAAAGGAGAAGATTATATATGTAGAGACCATGGAAAAAATTGCAATTTGACTTTCACTCTTTCTCCTGATAATGGGACCCTTAGAACTCATAAAAGGATCCCCACAGGAGAGAAGCCATATAAATGCCTGGAGTGTGGAAAGACCTTTACTAATAGTAGTAAATTTACTTTCCATAAAAGGATTCACACAGGGGAGAAGCCATTTAAGTGCTTGCAGTGTGGAAAAAGTTTCAGTGAGAGACGTTCCCTTACTTCCCATAAAAGGATCCACACAGGGGAGAAGCCATATAAATGCATGGAGTGTGGAAAAGCCTTTACTTATAGCAGTCATCTTACTTCCCATAGCAGGATCCACACAGGGGAGAAGCCATATAAATGCATGGAGTGTGGAAAAGCCTTTACTTATAGCAGTCATCTTACTTCCCATAGCAGGATCCACACAGGGGAGAAGCCATATAAATGCATGGAGTGTGGAAAAGCCTTTACTTATAGCAGTCATCTTACTTCCCATAGCAGGATCCACACAGGGGAGAAGCCATATAAATGCATGGAGTGTGGAAAAACCTTTACTTATAGCAGTCAGCTTAATTCTCATAAAAGGATCCACGCAGGGGAGAAGCCATATACATGTCTGGAGTGTGGAAAGACCTTTACTTACAGCAGTCAACTTACTCGCCATAAAAGAATCCACACAGGAGAGAAGCCATATAAATGCATGGAGTGTGGAAAAACCTTTATTCAGAGTATTCAGCTTACTTCCCATAACTGGATCCACACAGGGGAGAAGCCATATAAGTGTATAGAGTGTGGAAAGGGCTTCAGTCAAAGAAGTTACTTTACTTCCCATAAAAGAATCCACACAGGGGAGAAACCATATAAATGCATGGAGTGTGAAAAGGGCTTCCGTGACAATGCATCCCTTATGAGACATAAAAGGATCCACACAGGGGAGAAGCCATATAAATGCATGGAATGTGGAAAGACCTTTATTCAGAGCAGTCAACTTACTCGCCATAAAAGGATCCACACAGGGGAGAAACCGTATCAATGCATGGAGTGTGGGAAGGGCTTCAGCCAACACAGTAATCTTTCTTCCCATAAAAGGATCCACACAGGGGAGAAGCCATTTAAATGCATCAAGTGTGGAAAGAGCTTCAGGAGGAGCAATGGCCTAATTTCCCATACACAGACCCATTTGGGTGAGAATCCATGTTAATTCTAGATTTAATTGGTTTAATCTATGCATTTCCTATTTACATATACTAACTAGAAAAGGAAGTGTGGAATTGACCCTCACAGCTGGTAGCCCCAGAGAGATGAATTTAGCAATGAAAACAAAAGCTATGAGACATGCCTTTTTAATTATGAACTGTAGATTTGAAGGCCCTGTCATTTGAAGGTGGGCAATAAGAGAAAAACTAAGTGTATGTTTATTCCAGTTTCCAGTTGGGGTCAATTCCAAGAAAATGGCCATTTTAGGCATCTCGGATTCTGGGCTATGCAATTTTATGAATACCTTGTCTTTATTTTGTTTTTACAAGTGAGGTTCCTGGTCTCCAGGTGTTTGTTCCTGCCATTTCATCATGGTTCTGGGAGGGATGTGAACAGGCAGACATTTGACAGGTGATGCTCCCCCAAGCAGCCAAAGAGCTGCATCTCCCTGATGCATCTCTTCAAGACAAAGCTTTATTAGTGTTTCTTCCGCTATCACAGACACGCAGATAGAAATTCAACTCATCCAATCACTTCGCAGAGTTTAAACTTTCCTTCTTTTGCCTCGTGTTCTTACAGTTGTTTCCCCCTCCCATTCTCATTGCTTAATAGCTTCACAGTTTATCAGAGGACCCTACACTTCTCTGTCCTCAAAAAAAAAATTGGAAATGGTGCAGCAGAGAGATTCTGGGGTCTGAAGCAATGTTATAATCCAAAGGGAACTCAAGTTCCATCAAAGTATACAGAGTGAGGTGGAATGTGATATTGAATTGCCCCATTGAATAATTGTGATATTGAATTAAAAGTGACAGCTAACCGGATTTGTGCTTTCATGACTTTCTTCCTTTCTTCCTTTCTTCCTTTCTTCCTTTCTTCCTTTCTTCCTTTCTTCCTTTCTTTTTGTTTCAAGTTAGGGATGCTCAGGAGAATGAGATTGAAAATGATTCCAACGTGCTGACATTGTAAACAATCAAGCAGTAGGGGAGACATTTGGAAGTCACTGGGGACCAAAATCAAATAATATGTAATTAGGAAAAGCTACTTCAAAAATTTGGAGCAAATATCGTAGCTTCTTTTTTTTTTAATACAATTTTAAAAATTTTAATT